CAATGTTACCACATCCGCATTCTTCTCATTGCCTTGGCTCTGGTTTTCTGGTTTTATTTTATTGACCTCATTATTGTTTCTTTTGTGGTAAAGCATTTTAAATCTTTTTGAGAAAGAGGCAGCCCATAAAAATAATCTCTTTGTTTGGCATTGCTAATAAATAGATGAAGCATACATTTCAAAGTAGCCACTGTATGGCAAAGTGGTAAGAGGCCAGGCTGTAGACCCAGCTTCCCACTTAGACTTGAGAGCACACTCCTGTGTGAGTGAGTCCTAGCCCTGTGTCCTAACCCCTCCTAGCTGTGCTGGGCGCCAGTCATCTAACCTTTCTGAGCCTCAGTTTTCTTCTCCGTAAAATCAGATAACCTTATGGTTTCTTTAAGGATTAAATTAGATGCTCAGGACATTATAAATGTGTAATAGAAGGATACTAAGGTGGAAATGATTGTAAAGTGTAGCTCATATCACTTGGAAACATGTAACCACTCTCAGTTTTTGTAGGAGTATATTGTGTTTTCTATGTTTCTGGTATTTCATACAGCATAAGGAATTGTAAGACCTGTTCTGAGTTTGGGTTGCTCATCCCTGTATCACATGGAGGACCTCTCTTGAGGTTTCTGCTCGGGGAGTATCTGAATGAGGGTCTGCAAACACTCTGTGAGCAGAGATCGGCTCCGCCTGAGCAGTGAGGCCATGCTCATTCTCCATATGGCTTTAACTTTTCTCAAGTATAGTACATACATTTGATGTTAAATTATCCATGGCAGGCTGGGCATGATGGCTCACACCTACAACCCTAGCACTTTGGGAGGCTGAGGCAGGTGGATCACCTGAAGTCAGGAGTTCGAGAGCAGCCTGGCCAACATAGTGAAACACCATCTCTACTGAAAATACAAAAATTGGCTGGGCCTGGTGGCAAGTGCCTATAATCCCAGGTGCTCAGGAGGCTGAGGCAGGAGAATCGCTTAAACCTGGGAGGTAGAGGTTGCAGTGAGCTAAGATCATGCCATTGCACTCTGGCTTGGGCAATAAGAGTGAAACCCATCTTAAAAAGAAAAAAAAAATTATCCATGACAATGGCAGGAAGAAAATAAGCATAAGTAGATGGCCATCTATTGATCTCACTGTCTTAGATGTCACCACCCTACCCACATCCACCTGCCTTTTGTTTCCATCCTTCCTTTTCCCAAGACCACTGCCCTTTGGCAATTGCCTCCATCTTTCCTCTGTCCCCTTTAGAGGCTGGGGGATGGATTTCCCCACAGTAGCTTGCTTTCCCCCTGACACTTCCTACAGTGCTCAGAAATAGGGATCTCGGCCAGGCATGGTAGCTCACACCTGTAATCCCAGCACTCTGGGAGGCTGAGGTGGGCAGATCACCTGAGGTTGAGAGTTCAAGACGAGCCTGACCAACATGGAGAAACCTCGTCTCTACTAAAAATACAAAATTAGCTGGGTGTGGTGGCATATACCTGTAATCCCAGCCACTCAGGAGGCTGAGGCGGGAGAATTGCTGGAACCCGGGAGGCGCAGGTTGTGGTGAGCTGAGATTGTGCCATTGCCTGGGCAACGAGAGCGAAACTCCATCCCAAAAAAAGAAAAAAGGAAAAAAGAAATAGAGATGCACTGCCTGGCATGTCACCTCAGTTAGCCTCCGGCCATGTGCTTTGCTAACGCATCTCCTGCCTTCCTGTGCGTGACTGGGGTTTCTGCCATCTCGATTTTCTTTTGGTGGGGAGGTAAAGTTGTCCACATATCCTCTTATTTTCTACCCTCCAACTTTTATTTTGAAAATTTCAAATCTACAGAAAAAGAAAGACTATGTGCTTTCCTTAGAGTCACTAATTTTTAAGACATTTTGATATATTTATCCCTTCCTTTTCTCCCTTCTCATTTTGGCTGAAGTGTTGAAAGTTGCAGACACCATGAACCCTCAGCCCCATACACGTCACTGTGCATCTGAGGCACACTGGATGTTCTCCTGAATAACCACAATACTGTCATGTCACACTTACAGAACACAGCAGCGATTCCCTGATATCACTATCTCATGCGTAAGTCAATTCCGACTTCCCCAGTTATCACATATCACAGCTGTGTGTCCCCCCAAGTCCCCAAGATTCCATCAAGTTCGTATCTCTTTGGTCTCCTCTGATAAGGAATGGTTCTATCCCTTCCCTCTAGCTGGAGTATCCAGGCAAGTTTTGTTTAGAAAATGGCGCATATCCAGGCTGGCACATTATGGATTTTACTGATCATCTTGTTCCTCTATCCCCTGTATTTTCCATAAACTGGAAGTTATGCTAGAGGTCTCTATTTTAGAACAACAGACCCAGGTGAGTTTTGCCTCCTTTCCTTCTCCTCCCTCACCTTTGCAACAGGGCTGTTGATGGGCACCTGGGAGTCCCAAGCCCACCAGCCACACAGCTGCTCCATCCGTTCATTTTTTTTTTTTTTTTTTTTTTTTTGAGACAGAGTTTCATTCTTTTGCCCAGGCTGGAGTGAAAATGTGCACAATCTTGGCTCACTGGGTTCAAGCGATTCTCCTGCCTTAGCCTCCCGAGTAGCTTGGGACTACGGGCGCCCATCACCAGCCCCAGCTTATTTTTTGTATTTTTAGTAGAGACAGGGTTTCACCATGTTGGCCAGGCTGGTCTGGAACTCCTGACCTAGTGATCCCCCCGCCTTGGTCTCCCAAAGTGCATTCATTCTTACTCTTTGAGTACCTTTGTGGAGCGGGGCTGTTTTCGGAGCTGGGAGTACTGCAGTGAGCAAGGTAGAGGGAAGCTGTCCCGGGCAGCTTAGATGCTGGCTGGGGGAGCTGACCCTAAATAAACCGATACGTGATGGAACGTGGGTGGTAACCAGACACGAGTGAGAATCAGTGCAGACCTGTCTGGGGTGGCAACATTTCTGTAGGATCTGAGAGAGAGAGAGACAGAGATGTAGCGAGGGGACGCCGGCGTGAGCGGCGAGGGCAGCGGAGCCGCAGGGACGCGGTGGGGCAGCCCCGCCCGGTGTGCTGGGGAGGGGACGGGGGATTCCCTGTGCCCTGGTTGCGGCGCTGCTCGCTGCTGGGTCAGGGCTCAGTCCGTGCCGGGAGCGAGCTGGATCTAGCGGCCAGGCGCCTGGCGAGTTGGCCGGACCCGCGCAGAGTTCGTGCCCCGGAGCTCGCGGTGCGTGCAGGGTCCTCGCGCCGCTGTGAACATATTGGCCCATTTATAAAGCACTATTTTAAAGGATGATGAGTTAAACACCACTTTTGAGGGGAGAGTGGCGGGGTGTGGGAGGGATGAGACTGGTGAAAAAAGAACTCCCATGCTAGTTAGAGATAAACGCTAAACCCTTGTCCATTTCAGAGACTTTAGCGTATGAAGAAAATGTGCTGTTTTGAATCAAAGAAGTACTTGCTTCCCCTTTATTTTGGGAACTGCAGCTCGCTAGTTTCAGAAAGAGGTGTGGTTGCTCTTTAGAGGCTTCATACCTCAAGTAATGAAATGATAAACAAGTCGAAGTTCCTAGACCAACTGGGAGCCTGAGGGACAGCGCTGGCCTGGGCGCGTGGCTATGATGCCGGGAGGGCTGGGTTCCCAGAAGAGATCTTGAGGTTTCTTAGCACAATCCCCCCCACCCACCCCGAGGTATTGCCGAATCACAGTGCCTCTCCTACTTCCCCAGACTCTTGTCCTCTGCCCTTCCTCTGGACTTAACGCTAAGCCCTGGGTCCCAGATTCGGCAGTGTTTCAGAATCACACCTCGCATGGGGAGCACCATGCTCCCACTGTGCCCCAAAAGAGTTTCCCGGACGGTGTTCAGATAATCCGTGCGGTGAGAATCACCTTCTAGTGAAGTTCATGAAAGATTTTGTTTTGTTTTTAATGCATAGATTTGACCCCGAGGCTACACTGTAAGACAAGAACTGTATCTGATTCAAATTCAGAATTACCTCTGCGGTCCCCGAGTGGCTGTGTAGCGCTCAGCCCGTCCCACATGAATGGGATCACCGGATGACAGAGTTGGTGTTTGGACGTGCAGGTTTAGCCCCTTCTTGCCATGTGGCTTGCGGAGGCTGCCGTCTTGCTTTTACCTCCGCTACCGTCCGTCCTGGATTCCTGACGCAGCCAGCTTACTGAGTAGCCCTGCTGGATTTGATCACCTGAATGTTCCCATAAGCATTTTCTCTCCGGTAACTGCGTTTCCTCATTTCACTTCCAGTCTTGGTGAAAGCCACACCATCTTCCTAGGCCCCTGGCTATGTTTAGCGGGAGCCGGGTTCTGCACATTCTAGCTCTTCCTCACCTGCCCTTGAAACCTCCAGCCGCACCCCCCTCCACCCTATCTTGTACACTGCAGCTTGAATGTGTCACTTGTCTTCAGGGTAAAAAATCAACCACTCAGCATCGCATCCAGCATGTGCCTCCCTCTCTGGCCCTGACTCCTGGCCTTCCCCACCCGCTCCTTGACTACAGTGTTTAGTGTTTTAGATAGAACTCATTCTCTGAAGAGATCAGGTTGATCTAGCTCTCTGAAGGGACCATGTTATCTTGAGCCCAGGGTGGTTGCATATGAAGTTTCTTCTTTCTGGAATCCCTTTGCTGACTTTGCAACCTGGCTGCCATCCCTCCCATTTCAACTCACAGAGCATTTCCTTAGGAAGGATTCCCTAACCACCTCCTTTTCTTCTTGCTTGAGTTATGTGTCCTTTCTTAGATCCTGTGAGTCCTCTGTCATCGTCTTTACACATCTTTGCCACAAGAATATGAGCATAGTTAAAGCTGGAATTATGTCTGGATGATGGAAAACGGATGCTAAATAATTATTTGTTGAGTGAATTAATGAACAGGTAAACCTATTTGTGAACAGTATTCACATTTGAGTTGATTAATCTATATATGATAAAGAATGAAACTGTATTTTTTTCTACTCTAATGGAGAGATTTTGATGGCTTGAAGCAGTTCTGGAATGGTAAAACAATGTCATTGCTTTTATATTTCAACAGGAAATATGGGATGTATAAAATCAAAAGGGAAAGACAGCTTGAATGACGATGGAGTAGATTTGAAGACTCAACCAGTACGTAATACTGAAAGAACTATTTATGTGAGAGATCCAACGTCCAATAAACAGCAAAGGCCAGTAAGTAGATAGTCTCAGGGGAGAATTCCCACAGCAAGATCAAAGCACGGCTGCATAATTTAAACACCAATCTGTACTATGTGCATGCAAAAAAATCCCATTGATTATTTGGTCCTCAAATAATTTTTGATATACTTTGTAACTTAATCCTTTGAAGAATGTGCAAACATTTTAGGGATAACTAGGCCACTTATTGTACAATAAAGGGGACTTTGATCACATTCTTATATGTGAGGAAGGCCATCTTTCATATTACTGGTGCAAAGACCCTACTATATATGTATGTAGGCTTGTGTGACTCAAGATACACAGTGAGATTAGCGCAGTGGTCTAGAAGCAAAAGGAAATGCAAGTCAGGAACTAAAATAGATGCTAATGTGTCTTTTGTTGTGCCATGCTTTATCATACCTTGTCCCTTCTTCGATTAATTAAAAATAGTACAGATCCTGAAGTTGTCATGACTTATTTCAGTGAATTAAAATATTAAGAAAAAACACCTCTAATTCTGCTCCCTAACCTTAGAGAAATAGCTGCACTAGAAATAGCTTCACTAGAGATATTTAGTGAGTGATGTGCTATTTGGTGTATTTGGGAAATGCTTTGGCAAAGGAAAAACTAACATTGCATTTTATGGAAAGGAAGAACAGAGCTTTGGATAATTATAAACTGAAATCTACTTCATTTCAGAGCTTATATCCTTTGTATGGATATATTCTCTCATTCTATACATGTATATCGCCCATAGCCTGCTTTCTGTGGAATTTTGCAGCATTTAAGCTGGAAACAGCTTATTCCAGATTAACCCAAATGCTATTATTAAGAATTTTCATAGTTTCTCTAGTCCGACGTGTTTTTAAATGGCCAGGTGTTTTAGAAACATATTTGCATTATCAAGCCTTTCTGCCTGCCCTCCCCTGAACGTGTCCCCATTATCCTGCAGGTAGGACGTATCTGCCATGTATCAAAGTCACACGTCATCGTTGAGACTAGGAAATCAACGTTGCTCTTTTTAAGAAGTGGAGATAAACAGTGGATATATCATGCTATTAAGTTATCATACATGATGTTTCTGGATAAATTAACTTTGTAATTTTATATATAGAAAATATATGTACTTAAAGTATATAAGATTTAATAAAGTATATAATTGATTTAATAATTTAGCAATAATACATATGAATATAAATTTAAAATTTAAAAACCTATTACAGTCAGTGAAAAAAAGATTACTTAAGTATATGCCATAAGTACATACAGATATGGAACAAGTTTTGCTCTTGTTGCCCAGGCTGGAGTGCTGTGGTGCAATCTTACCTCACTGCAACATCTGCCTCCTGTGTTCAAGCGATTCTCCTGCCTCAGCCCCCTGAACAGCTGGGATTATAGGTATGCACTGGCATGCTTGGCTAATTTTTGTATTTTTAGTAGAAATGGGGTTTCACCATGTTGGACAGACTGGTCTCGAACTCCTGTCCTCAGGTGATCCACCCGCCTTGGCCTCCCAAATTGCTGGGATTACAGGCATAAGCCACCACACCCAGCCAGTCTTTTGTTTTTATTTATTTATTATTTTTTTATTTTTATTTTTATTTATTTACTTATTTATTTTGAGACAGAGTCTCGTTCTTGTTACCCATGCTGGAGTGCAATGGCGCGATCTCGGCTCACTGCAACCTCCGCCTCCTGGGTTCAGGCAATTCTCCTGCCTCAGCCTCCTGAGTAGCTGAGATTACAGTCACGTGCCACCATGCCCAGCTAATTTTTTGTATTTTTAGTAGAGACGGGGTTTCACCATGTTGACCAGGATGGTCTCGATCTCTTGACCTCGTGATCCACCCGCCTCGGCCTCCCAAAGTGCTGGGATTACAGGCTTGAACCACCGCGCCCGGCCCCCAGTTTTTTGTTTTTAAATGATGAAGAAAGACGTCCTTTATTCAGAAAAGCCAAGGAGAATAGTACAAATCCACACACCATTTTTTCCTCTTCTTCAAAGTAAAGGGGATTGAAAATCAAGTTAGAAAGCAGAAGTAGAAAACATGTTTGAAGTCTTTCAGTTCTCTCTTGTGTACTGTAAATATTTCAGTTTGTCCCTTCTGTGGACACAGATGCCCTCGCCTCATGAACCAGTTAGTCTAGCCTTATTCCACGGCCATGACCAACACTCTTAGCCCTGGCCAGGTGTGCCAAAATGCAGGCCATGGACTTATTACAACGGGAATCTGCCGAGAAGGTGAGGTTGAGTCGATGCAGAATTCAACAACATTCCAGAAAAAGCCATTTTAAGGAAAAATCTAGAGCAATAGTATATGCATTGCATAGGTGTGTTTTGGTCTTATAAAAAGTATATTAAAATGTTTGTAAATTAAGTGCTCTTTGATATTTGAAAAATCAGCTTGCTGCTTTGAAAATGATGAAATTAGTTTCAAGTCTTCCAGTTATTTCCTCTGAATCACATAAAATAGATCGTATTATCCAAATTATGCAAATCTGAATGACTGAAAAATCGACATAGAACTTCTTGACATAAACATGATATGTACAGCCATGGTTTTTTCTGGTACCACAGTGTAGTAATTTTCCCTACCTCACTGAATTGGAGATTTTGTGGGCTTTCATCAGAAATTTAAATTTCAGTACAAACTTTTTTTGTCCCATTCTATGAAGCCACTTTAATCAAAAAGAAACAGAAAAGTTACATGGCTTGTGAGACAGGCCTCTGACAGCCCCTATCTTACAAGAGGCCCAGAGGCCTCACAGCCTCACATGGCATTGTGAGAAAAAGGAATTTGATTTCAAAAGTAATTGAGGTGGCCTTTTGTGCCACCACATCCTTCCCAATAACTCACCTCCCCACTGAAATAACAGGGGATGCCATCTGTCTCTGTGATTGAGTCATGGGGTCAGCCCAGGAGAGGCCGGATGGGATGGGACTTGCTCTCAGCCTCCAGGGACAGAGCCCTGACTGTGCAATTTCACTCAAGCTGGGGAAACCTTGGATGGGCAGTCCTGGGCGGGGACGGCAACTCCACCAAGTCACCAGCTCCCGCTACTTCCGTCTCCATCCTGCTGCTGCGATGTTTGGTTTCTGTGGCTTCTGGGCCTCCAGATTTAAGTGGTTTCCAGGGAGAGAGAAAGAGGCAAGGGAAAAGGTGAGCTGATGGCAAAGGCCTGCACAACCGATCTGCTGACTGAAACTCTTTCTGCCGTCTACCCGGGGCTAGAGAGTTTACAAGCACACTCATTGAGCTGGGCAAACTGCCACCCCAAACAATGTTAGGGTTCTGTCACCAAAGAATGGGGGAGTTAGGATGAGGTGAGCACCGAGCAGCCCCCGCCCGGAACCTCACTCCCTTCCTGCCACCCACAGCAAGTGATAAAAGAGCCCTGTCACTGGCCGGGCAGGGCTGGACACAGCTCTACAGGTTTTTCCTCTGTGCTCCTGTTCTTTCCAACTTCATGAATGAGCCCATCCTACCAGCATCTGCTTCTATTACAAAAATCATGTATACAACATGAATGTCAGCAAGAAAAGCTAAACAGAATTTTTTTCCCTAACAAATATTCTCTTGTAGGTTTCAGAATCTCAGCTTTTGCCTGGACAGAGGTTTCAAACTAAAGGTATGTCTTCACAGCAACTAGTTAAAATTTTTTTTCTTTACTATTAGAGCTTCTACAAAGTGGTTGTCTTGAATTTTTTTTTTTTTTTATTCTGGGACATAGATAACATAAAAATTTACCCTCTTCACTATTTTTAAGTCTACATTTCAGTGGCATTAGGTACATTCTCATTGTTGTGGAACTGCCACCGCCCTCCATCTCCAGAACGCATCTTCTGAAACGGAAACTCCATACCCGTTAGATGATAAGTCCTCCTGCCTCCTCCCCCCACTGCTGGCAACCTCTGTTCTTTCTGTCTCTATGAATTTCACTGCTCTAGGTACCTCCTAGAAGTGGAATCATACAGTAATTGTCCTTTCATGTTTGGGTTATTTCATTTAGGGTGATGTCCTCAAGGTTCATCCATGCTGTAGAAAGTGTTAGAATTTCTTTCCTTCTAAGGGCGAATAATATTCCCTTGTAAGTATGTGTCCTGGCCAAGCAGAGTGGCTCATGTCTGTAATCCCAGCACTTTGGGAGGCCACGGCAGGTGGATCACCTGAGGTCAGGAGTTCAAGACCAGCCTGTCCAACATGGTGAAACCCCATCTCTACTAAAAATACAAAAAATTAGCTGGGTATGGTGGTACACGCCTGTAATCCCAGCTACTCAGAAGGCTGAGCCAGGAGAATTGCTTGAACCACCACGAGGCGGAGGTTGCAGTGAGCCGAGATTGCACCATTGCACTCCAACCTGAGCAACTAGAGTGAGACTCCATCTAAAAAAAAAATCTATATCTATATCTGTCTATATGCCCCGTGATGTTTATCCATTCCTCAATCAATGGATGTTTGCGTTATTTCCACATCTTTGAATAATCCTGCTGTGAACATGGGTGTATCATTTCTTAAAATAAGACAGGATTCGGTGTATCTGGAATCAGAATCTATTTCTTAAATATAGAGTCGTATTTATAGTTGTAGGTTTCAGTGATTTGCAATAACAAATACTAGACACAGTGTATACAGCAAGTTACTCTCTGCAGGCCGTGCAGACCTGGGCCCGCTAGGTAGGAAGCACATGTCCTTCTTCCAGTCTCCCCTCTCTTAGTGCTTCCTCTCATCCTTTGTGCCTCATGAAGTTTGTTAAAACACTTCTGCTGATGGATTCTTACAGGTGTTGTCTTGTGTTCATCCTTAGATCCGGAAGAGCAAGGAGACATTGTGGTAGCCTTGTACCCCTATGATGGCATCCACCCAGACGACTTGTCTTTCAAGAAAGGAGAGAAGATGAAAGTCCTGGAGGAGTAAGTGCTCTCAAGCACACCGCGGTTGCTCCTTTCCTTGGGCCACTGGGGCCTGCAGGCTGTCCCCTTGTCTTGCTTCTGATGCCACAGCCGTAGCCTGGCCCCCTTTCTACAATGGGCATGAGGCCTCCTTGCTACCCACGGGGAGTGGGCAGTGGAAGGAGTAGGGCCAAAGGGATTTTCCTTCCAAGTCCAGCTGTGAGCACTCTGCAGGGGGTTTCCCTTTGGAGACAGAGGCTGGTTTTTCTTTTAAAAAAAATTTTTTTTTTTTTTTTGAGATAAGATCGCTCTCTGTCATCCAGGCTAGAGTGCAGTGGCATGATCATAGCTCACTGCAGCCTTGAACTCCTAGGCTTAGGCAATCCTGCCACCTCAGCCTCCTGAGAAGCTAGGACTACAGGCATGTGCCACCATGCCTGGCTAATTTTTAAAATTTTTGTAGAGATGAGATCTTGTTATGTTGCCCAGACTGGTCTTGAGCTCCTGCTGTCAAGCAACTCCCCCACCTCGGCCTCTCAAAGTGCTGAGTTGGCAGGTGTGAGCTACCACACTCAGCCTGGTTTCTTTCTTTATCCAATCTTGCCACCTTAAGGAATTTGGGTCTGTGTGGCCCATGCATGATATTTGAAATGCCATTTTTCTTTTGTTATATTACTCACGTTTAGACTGGGTTCGTGGGCCCAGCCTAGTCTGAGTTCTAAGGGTGCTGAGCTACAGCAGCCATGCTGGGAAATCCTCAGCTCAGCAGGTGCCGTGCTTTTGTGAGGAAGCCTGGGTGTCGTCATCTCCTCGACCCCCTCTTGCTGACTCAGGCATGTAGCAGCATCAGACCACAGGCACACAGGATAGTGCTCAGAATAAGAAACTCCAGATGCTTTAATTCTAGCTTGCTTTTCCTACTAATCTTGCATTCAGTGTCATTGTAACCCTCCAAATAGTTTGAGGGGGAGACCCCCTTATGAAGGACAAGGTGTTCCGTGGTTGAGAGCAATGTTGCTTATGGGTTGAACATGAGCTTAAGTATGATCCTGACCCTGCCACTTGATAGATGTGTGACCTTGACAAGACCCTTAAACTTTGTACCTTGGTTTCTTTACTTATAAAATGGGAATGACAGTACCTAGATCACGGGGTTGATGTGAGCATGATGCATGTGTATAAACATAACATAAGCATAGAGGAGGCAAAGCTTAGTATTAATTCTAGTTGTCTTCATGCCTGACAGACAAGGATCCTGTCTGCATGTGGAATTTATAGAGGAACACAGTTAAGGCTCAAAGGGACCCATTCCTTCCCCCATCACGGGCTCACCTGCTTGGTTCTTCCAGTGCTGGCCCCTACCTCCTCCCTGGCTCTGTGCCTGCCTTTCTGCTGAGGACTCGAGCATGGTGATGAGGCTCACTTGCTTGGATTTGTCTTATGGTTTTCTCTTTTTCATGGTGTCCATCTCTATGGTAACTAGATGTATGGTAACTAGGAGTTTATAATACATGAACGATGGACCAGTATTCCCTTGACTCTCATATACAGATTTTGGAAAGCATTTCTTAGCTATCCAGAGGCAAGTTACAAATCTTTTGCTTCTGTGAGATGGCAGTCATTTTTACCAACTCTTGTTTGTACACCCCTGAGCATAGTGACCTACACTTTAGTTGTAAGGCTGTTTTCCTTTGTTTCTGTCTCTAAACATATTTTAATTTCATCACGAAAGGTGAATTTTCCCACTGGATTCTGAGGTTCCAGGGATGTTCTCCACCCACCTTCACCCCCCTAAACAAACACCTTGAGACAATTGCTGTTGTAGCTGTTGAGTCTTGGATATAAACAGTTTTCGCCTTTTATTTTTAGTTGCCATGGTATGCAGTCATGGGATACAGAGTGACAATTGATACATGCATGCAGCGTGTAAAGATCAAATCAGCGTAATTAGCGTATCCATCACCTTGAACATTTATTATTTCTTTGTGTTGTGAACATTCAAAACCCACCCTCCCATCTTTTCTTTCTCTCTCTTTCTTTTCAATAGCTTTATTGAGAATTCACAATACCATGCAATTCACCCGCTTAAAGTGTACAATTCAGTGATTTTCAGCATAGTCACAGAATTGCACAACTGTCACTACAATCCATTTTAGAACATTTAAAATATCCTAAAAGGAAACCCTGCACCTCTTAGCTATCACCTCAACTCACCCGTTCTCTCCAGCCCCAGGAAACTACGAAACTACTTTTTATCTCTAAACATTGACCTATTCTGGATTTTTTGCATAAATGGAATCAGACAGTATGTGGTCCTTTGTGGCTGCCTTCTTTTGTTCAGCACCATGTTTTCAAAGTTCCTCCCTGTTGTAGCGTCTCTCGGCACTTCATTCCTTTCACTGCTGACTAATATTCCACTGGGCGGATATTCCAGATTTTGTCCCTTCATCAGTTGATAGACCTCTTGGTTGTTTCTACTGTTTGCTTTGACAAATCATGATGCTTTGAACGTTCATGTACAAGTTTTTGTGTGGATGTTATGGTTTCCGCTTTCTTGGGTGTATGTCTAGGAGCATAGTTGCTGGGTCCTGGGGTAACTGTAGGTTTTCCTTATTTTAAATTTTTTAATGGATACATAATATCTGCACATAAATACATATTTATGGGATACCGGTGATACTTTGATGCATGCATGAAATATGTAATTTTATAGCTTCTTTTTGTTGTGTATTTCTATTCCAGGCATGGAGAATGGTGGAAAGCGAAGTCCCTTTTAACAAAAAAAGAAGGATTCATCCCCAGCAACTACGTGGCCAAAGTCAACACCTTAGAAACAGAAGAGTGAGTCCTCACGTGTTGTCATTTGGGTGACTTGGTCTGCCACATTGGATTTCTTAATATTCTTCACCTTTTTCTTGCCCTGGAACATAACGTGTACGAAATGTTGAAATGTCTTTGCAGGTGGTTTTTCAAGGATATAACCAGGAAGGATGCAGAAAGGCAGCTTTTGGCACCGGGAAATAGCGCTGGATCTTTCCTTATTAGAGAAAGTGAAACATTAAAAGGTAGGAAATAGTTGAAAATCTCTTCTAAACCACTATTTAGGAAATTATTTTTAGAGGCTATTTTAGAATTACTCAAGGGGAAAAAAAGGATATCGTATGCTGTGGTAGTAAAAGTTTTATGGTTTGATAACAAATAACAAACTTCAATGATTAGTTATGCTACTAAAAGTGAAGTAGTTGAGTGTGGTGGCTCACACCTGTAATCCCAACACTTTGGGAGGCCAAGGCGAGGGGATCACTTGAGTCCAGGAGTTGGAGACCAGCCTGGGCAACAGAACAAGACCCCATCTCTACAAGAAATACAAAAATTAGCCGGGCCTGGCAGCACATGCCTATAGTCCCAGCTACTCCAGAGGCTGAGGTAGGAAGACCACCTGAACCCAAGGAAGGAAGGGAGGCTGCAGTGAGCCATGATCATGCCGCTGCACTCCTAGTTAGCTTGGGTGACAGAGTGAGGCACTGTCTCAAAAAGGAGGGAGGGAAGGAAGGAAGGAAGGAAGGAGGGAGGGAGGGAGGGAGGGAGGGAGGGAAGGAAGGAAGGAAGAAAGGAAGGAAGGAAGGAAGGAAGGCTGGGCATGGTGGCTCAGGCCTGTAATCCCAATGCTTTGGGAGGCCGAGACAGGAGAATCACTTGAACCCAGCAGTTTGATACCAGCCTGGACAACACAGCAAGACCCTGTCTGTATAAGAAATTTAAAAATGAGCTGGGTGTGGTGATGTGTGACTATAGTCCCAGCTACTTGAGAGGTTGGGGTAGAAAGTTCACTTGAGCCCAGGAGGTCGAGGCTGCAGGGAGCTTTGATCATGCCACTGCACTCCAGCCTGGGTGACAGCAAGAACCTGTTTCAAAAAAAAAGAAAGGAAGAAAGAAAGAAAGAAAGAAAATCAAAGTAACCTTAAAATTTTTAAAGTTAGCTAAATAGTAACTTTAAAAAATTATCATAAAGACGGCCGGGCGTGGTGGCTCAAGCCTGTAATCCCAGCACTTTGGGAGGCCGAGGCGGGTGGATCACGAGGTCAAGAGATCGAGACCATCCTGGTCAACATGGTGAAACCCCGTCTCTACTACAAAT